TCTCCTCCATCTCCTCCTCCTCCTCCATCTCCTCCTCCTCCTCCTCCTCCTCCTCCTCCTCCTCCATCTCCTCCTCCCCCTCCTACCCCCTCTTCCTGGTCCATGGAGGAGGGGAATAATAACTAAGACTGTGTACCCAGTGTCTGGTATGGACTTAGTGCTCAAAATATGGTCGTACTTATTACTGCTCTTTGTGGTAGCCACCTCCAAGATGGCTGCCAGTGGTCCTCACCCCCGGAATCCACAGTCCCGTCTCGGTCCCTCCCACACTGAGCAGATCTGAGCCGTGTAGCCTAGGACACAGTTGAAATGATGGGATGTGTCTTGACAGGCGTGTGGTTTGGGACTTAAATGTGTCCCCAAAGGCCCATTTAGAAGGCGGGGCCTAGTGGAAAGAAGTGGAGTCACTGGTGCTTGCCCTTGAAGGGAACCTGAGCAGCCCTTTCTCCTCCTCCTTCTCCACCCTTCTTCCCCCCTGCCTCCTCCTTCTTCTCTTCCTTCTCCTTCCTCCTCCTTCTTCTCTCCCTCTCTCTCTCTCTCTCTCTCTCTCTCTTCCTGGCCACCCATGAGGTGAGTAGCCTCACTCCACTCCACTCCTGTCATGTGTCATTGCCAATGAACCAAGCAACCACAGACTGACACCTCTAAAACCGTGAGCCGAAATAAACTTTTCCTCCTTTAGGCTGCCCACCTTGGGCATTTTGTGACAGTGATGGAAAGCTGACTTTCACACGAGGTGTGATCAGAAGACACGCCACTTCCCCTTGCTCTCTGGGATCAGTCACGTGGGGGAAGCCAGCCGCCATGTTGTACGGACACTAAGGGTTCAGGGACAGGCCTCTCTGAGAAGGAAACTGAAGGCCTTCTTCAACAGCCAGCACAGACTCACCAGGATTGTGAGTTATCTTGAGCAGATCCTCGAGCCCAGTCATATCCTCAACTCAAGGGCAGCTTTGGCTGCCATCTTTGTTTTTTGGTGGCTCTGGGATTTGAACTCAGGGCCTCTTGCTTGTCAGCCCACTGTAGATGACAGCCTGACCACAGCCCAGTGGGCTACGTAGGCCTGAATCCCTCAACTAAGCCTCTCCCTAGATCCTGGCCGAGGAAGCTGTGGGAGATAAACGTTTCTGCCTGTTTAAAGCAGCTCTGTTTTTTAGCCCAACACAGTGGTACATGCCTGTAGTTCCAGCTACGTAGGAGGCTGAGCTAGGAGGCCCACTTAATCCCTGGGCCTCAAAAATAAATACAAGAAAATCGCTCTGCTTAGGAGTACCTTTGACCTTCTGTTTCCTGAGTTCCAGCTCTGTGGATGCAATCAACCATACCTCAGAATTATCTTCCTGCCAGGGCACCAGTGGCTCACGCCTGTAATTCTAGCTACTTGGGAGGCTGAGATTGGGAGGACTGAGGTTTGAGGTCCAGGGCAAAGAGTTTGCAAGACCCCATCTCCAAAATAACCAGAGCAAAATGGATGGGAGGAGTGCCTGCTTTACAAGTGCAAAACACAGAGAGAGAGAGAGAGAGAGAGAGAGAGAAAGAGAGAGGGGGAGAGAGAGAGAGAGGGAAAGAGAGGAGAGAGAGAGAGAGAGAGAATTCCTTTTCTTCCTCTGGAAGGTGGAATGAAAATAGAATGAGCGAGCTGTACAAACTCCCGGGAGGATTAAATGTGGGTGACAGGTACACAGGACAGATGAGTCTGCCTTTCCTCAGGGCTCTGGGGACAGGAAGGTGCCATTATCTTTATCTTCAGGAAGTGTCTGGGCCCAGTCAGGTCTGAGGCTCAGAGAGGCTGAGCAACTTGCCCAGTGTCACACAGTCAGTCAGTGACAGAACCAGCAGGCAAATCACAAACCTGTGTTCGAACCCAACATCCAGGCCTGAGTGAGGGGACGGCTCGGCCCCGCCTGGGAGGGGACGCTGTGTAGACAGACCCCAGGCTGGTCAGAGCCCCCATACAGGGTCTGATGACCCAGGTGGGTGACATTTCACGCTGATGAATGTGGAAGAGCTCTGGACAGAGCCAGCAGTGCTCATGTGGCCTTCTCAGAGTCACTTCCCTCTGTCCAGGTCTCTATTTCCCTGGCTTCTAAAGGGGGGAACCTCAAAGAACCTTCTCGGGGCCCCGCTCCCCAGATGAGCTGACACCCTTATGTCTCTGGGAACACGAAGCGGGGGACCCCCCGGGCTGAGCATTAAATTAATCCTGACCTGACACAGCTGTCGCGTCCAGGCGAAGTGAAGAAACTGAGGCTGGAAAGGATGACATCCTTTGCCCAGCCTAGGTGAGCCATCTTCCCAGAATGACATTTTTCCAGACGTGGACAGGGATCGAGGCCTCCTCGGCCAAGCCGTTACCTCGTGCTCAAGGAAGGGTGTGAAGCTGTTATGGAAAAGACTCTGGGGACTCTGAGGAAAGGGAGCAATGCCCCACCACACACAGCCACCGCACCTTGGAATTCCAGTCTCCAGAACTGTCACCTAGATAAATGTTTTGCTTTATAAATTACCCAGTTTCCGTGATTCCGTTATAGCAACGGAGAACAGAGTAAGGCAGCCTTCGGGGCTGGGGGCATGGCTCAAGTGGTAGAGCGCCCGCCTAGCAAACACAAGGCCCTGAGTTCGAACCCCAGTAACACACGCACACCCTGGAAAGGAAAGAGGGGACAGCATGTGTGAGGCCACAGAGCCTGCCATCGCAAAGCACCACACACTGGGTGCCTTAAGGCATTTATCCTACACAGCTCTGGAGAGCAGAGGGCCTGACGCCGAGCGTTAGCTGTGTTTCCTGTGGGACTCTGGGTAGAATCTTTCTTTGCTTCTTCCTAGCCTCTGGGCGTGGCCTTTGCTCCATGGCATTTTTCCCTGGGTTTTTTTTTTCTTGCGGTGCTGAGGTTTGAACTCAGAGCTTCCACCTTGAGCCACTCCACCAGCCCGTTTTTTTTGTGATGAGTTTTTTTTTTTTGAGATAGGGTCTCGTGAACTATTTGCCTGAACTGGCTTCGAACCGCGATCCTCCTGAGTAGCGAGGATTACAAGAGTGAGCCCCAGGCACCCGGTGTTACTGGGCTTTGAATTCAGGGCTTTGCATTTGCTAGGCAAGTTTTTGAGAGGTTCTCTCACTTTTGCCTAGAGCAACCTCAAATCAAGATTCTCCTACCTCTGCCTCCCGAGAACCTGGGACTACAGGTATGCACCACCATGCTCAGCCCTCCACTTCTTATGCAGACATCAGAGATGCTGAATTAGGGCCTAACCGAACGACCTCATCTCAACTTACTTCCAAGTCAGGCATGGAAGGAGGGTACCAGGGGCCAGGACTTCAGCACAAATCTTTTTTTTTTTGGGGGGGAGGGATACAATTGAACCCAGAAAAGAGGAGAGCACTGATTTTCTTGAAGGGGGCTCTGAATTTCAAACATCAGGTCAGCAAATGCCTGGTCCCTGGGAATAAAAGGTGGGAAGGGTGGGGACCCAGGAATGCCAGAGGTGGACACGGCACGGTTCGGCTCCACGGCGCCCTCTGCTGCCCAGGCACGGAAACTGCAGGCTACAAGAAGCAAAGTCCCTTGGACCCTTGCAGTGTTTCAGCTGGGTGACATTGAGACTGTGAAGGTCAACGAGCAAAGTGTCAAGGGTCTTCAGGCCTCGAAACCCACCCTGAGCAGGAGCTGGGGGCTCACGCCTGTAATCCTACCTAATCAGGAGGCAGAGATCAGGAAGATCGCGGTTCGAAGCCAGCCTGGGCAAATAGTTTGCGAGATCCTCTCTCTCTCAAAAAAAACAAACAAAAAAAACCCATCACAAAAAAGTGGCTCAAAGTGGAGGCCCCGAGTTCAAATCCCAGTACCGCAAAAAAAGAAGTAACTACCTGTCTTTGATTAATAAAAGTAGACGGAGTGAGCTCATAGATTTGAAATCTGTTTTCTTTGTCCATTTTTCGTGGTGCTTATTTCTTTCTATATGATCTAAATAAAGGCTCCGAGGGTTTGCCAGAAATAAAATGATTTCATAAGATCATTAGGAAGCGACGGACAGTGGCTCCAGGAATTGGTGCAATCAAGCCTTGGTGCTCAGGACTGACTGGTTTCCTGGGGTGTAGCATTTTGGTACTACAGTCTCAGAAAACCTGGGACAGAGTCACCCTAACGCCCCCTCATCCCGGCCAGAAGCTCAGCACCAGGAGACAAGGTTCACCCAAAGCCAGGGAGGGGTTAGGAGCTGACAAATCTTGGGCTAAGTTGTGGCTTTGGTGCTAAGCAGCTGTGTGACTTTGAGCAGCTCGCTTAGCCTCTCTGAGCGTGGTTTATAAAGCAGGGAGGTTGTAAATATCCAGCTAAGCCCTTGGCCTGGAGCCAAACACAAACAGATCAGCAAAAAAAGAGTGGCTTGGCTGTGTCTTCTGAGGCCCTGGGCCCCCTAAATGTCCCTGTCCCCCCCGCCCAGGGACCCTGAAAAAGCCAGGTGCGTCCCTGTACTGGTCAGTCACACCTGGCCATACCTTGGGAGCTCTCTCTGAACCCTCTTCCTGTCTGTAGCATGACACTGTGGCAGTCCCCGGGTGGGTGGCTTTGAGCAAAGTGTCACCGGTGCGGACTCGATGATTTCTCCGGCTCACTGAGCCACACGGGGTTCAGCGTGTATGGACGCTCCCGCCCAAGAGACCCCACCACGCTCTTTTGGGGTCCCACCCTCCCGGGACCCCCAAGAAGCACACCGAGAGCGACTGACAGAAAGCACAACGTGGAATTCCTTTGCTTCTGAGGTCCCCTTCAGGGGAGGCTGCAAATACGGGGACGGTTTAATTTTGTTTGTCGGTTTTTGAAGTGGCACAATTAGTGAAGTACTGTCAGGGGGCCCAGTCCTGCCTGGCTGGCTGTGTCCCCAGCTCGCCCAGGGCGGCACCGGGAGGGGACAGCGCGTGGGTGGGGAAGGGGGGAGAGGGAGCCCCGGGGCCACCCGCGGGGTCCCCGGCCCGGGGCGGGGGCGGGGGGGGGGCGGTGTCACCATCGCAGGAAGTCCCGGATGGCTTTCCAGAGGTTGGTGACCCACAGGTCGGCCCCGAGGTCGGTCAGGTACTGGATCTCGGGGGTGGACATGCGGCGGCAGAGCTGCGCGTGTCGCTGGCCGATGCGCTTCTTCAGGTTGTAGCCCAGGATGGACTTGGCGCCCAGGGGCTGCCAGGGCTGCATGGCCGCGTCGCGGATGGCGGCGGCGTCCACGGCCCGGCCGCCGTCTATGCAGATGAGCCGCATCTGCTCGTTGGCCAGGCGCAGGGCGGTCACCTCCCTGGCCATGCGGTCCCGGCCGAAGGCGTCCACCTTGCGCCAGAAGCTGGCGTTGAAGTGGCGGTAGAGGCGGGCGTCCAGCGTGTTCCAGGCGGTGGCCCGGCGGTACAGGTCCCCCGAGAGGCGGGGCGCGGCGGGGTCCCGCCGGGCGTTGAGCTTGAAGTAGAGCAGGTCGTCCAGGTCCCAGCAGAGCAGGTGGCGGAGCAGGACCAGGGACTCGTCGAAGTACTCCTGCAGCAGCACCAGGTGGAAGCGCCTGTCCACCTCCAGGATGAGCTCCTGCACGCGGGGGCTGCGCGGGTCCAGGCCGCTGTCATAGCCCAGGTCGAAGAAGAGCAGGTTGCGCAGGTAGTGCGCGTTGTAGCCGCGGGGGTCGTAGTAGCGATCGGGGTCCCTCAGGAACTCGGCCAGCTTGTCGCGGCCCGGGAGCGCCCAGGTGAGCGGCACGACGGCCCCGAAGTAGTGGAAGGAGGACTCGAAGAGGCGCGCGGGGTCGCGCAGCACGGTGATGAAGGCGGCGCCCGGGGCCACCAGGCCGCGCACCTCGTCGTAGTGGAAGCGCATGTGCCCGCACACCAGGTTGAAGCAGGCGCCGGGCCGGTAGCCCCGCACCCGGCGGCGCGCGAAGAAGGCCGGGTACCCGAAGTCGTTGCGGCCGCGCGGCAGGGCGAAGCGCAGCCCGTGCTTCTGGCCGAAGCGGAACAGGATGTTGAGCAGGGTGCTGCCCGCCGTCTTGTGCGTCTTCACGAACACGATGTCGCGCCTGGGCCGGCACCGGCCCCCCGAGCCGTTGGTGCCCCGACGGCCGGCCTCCGCCTCCGCCTCCGGGCCCGGGGAGCAGGGCGCCGGGGCCTCCAGGCTCCTGTGGGCGACACGGGGGGACAAAGGGGGCAGGCTCTGGGCTCCCTCCCGGACGGGGCGGCGGTTGCACGGCGGGATGGTGCACGCCCTGTCACATCCTGGCTACTCGGGGAGGCTGAGGCAGGGGAGGATGGCTGGGTGAGGCCAGCCCAGGCAGGCGGTTCTCGAGATCCACGCCCCCTCCCCCCCACCATCACCTCCAAAATAACCTGCACGCGTGGCTCAAGGTCTTGCAGGTATGAAACCCTGAACTCAAACTCCAGTCCCACCAAAAAAAAAAAGAAATTAAAAAAAAGAGAAGTATTAAATGAACCAAGCCTTGTATGCACATATGAATAATAAAAGAAAAATGAAAAAAAAAATGCCTAGCATGAGCCAGACCCTAGCATTAGGAAAAAAACAAAACATGGAGGCCAGTTGTGGTCAGTGTTCATGCACACCTATAATCCCAAGACTCAGGAAGCTAAGGCAGGAGGATAAAGAGTTCCAGGCCAATCTAGACTACATAGGGAGACCCTGCTTCAAAAATACCCCAAATAGAGTGCAGAACATCAGTGGCTCACACCTGTAATCCTAGCTACTCAGGAGACAAAGCAGGAGGATGCAGTTCAAAGCCAGCCCAGGCAAATAGTTTGAAAGACCTTATCTCAAAAAAAAAAAAAACAAAAAGGGCTGGTGGAGTGGCTCAAGATGTAAGCCCTGAGTTCAAGCCCACCTACCACAAAAAAAAGAAATTAAAAAAAAAGAAGTATTAAAGTATTAGGTTGGGAGGGTGGGGGGCAGCCTTAGTAGGCACATATGAATAATAAAACAATAAAAACCAGAAAGTATTAGGTTGGGACCCAGGCATGGTGGTGCACCCCTGTAATCCCAGCCACCCAGGAGGCAGAGATAAGAGGGTCTCCGTCTGGCCCCAGGCTGCCTGGGCAAAAATGCAAGAACTTATCTGAAAACAAACTAAAGCCAAAAGAGCTGGGGTGTGGCTCAAGTGGTAAAGCACTTTCCTAACAAGCCTGAGGCGCTGAGTTCAAATCCCACTATGGCCAAAAAAAAAAAAAAAGTCATATCAGGTAGGACCACACGAAATGGCCATTTTACAGGCCCCAAACGCTCAGTTATTGACAACTTCAACTTAACACCATCAACTAAGGTCACACGCTGTGTCAGGCTTGCCCCGTCGGGAGGCAGAAGCCAGGTCTGGCATCGCACAGGCCCCAGGCTGTGTGCCAGCTAAAGGCTGGTGGACAAGTCGCCCCCACTGTGGCCCCGTCAGAGCCCTGGACACACATGGTGTCCTGTGACTCTCCTGGTCCACCGTACCCATTTCACAGATGGGCACACCGAGGTCCAGGATTACACCGGGAGCTCTGTCCTCAGTACAGGAACGTCTGCCTGGCACGGCCGAGGGCAGGGTGGCTGCCCAGGTGGTAGCCTCGCTCCAAGGGGCCTACGCTGCGGTCATGATGGCCCCCTGGGGGAGCAGCCCCTTGCCACCCCCAGCTCTTGCTGCCCCACTGAGTCACTCACGTGGAGGCCAGGCCGGCGTGCAGCGGGGGGACGGCGTAGGAGTACAGCAGCAGCAGGAAGCTGGTGAAGAGCGCGCCCAGCACCAGCCCCTTGGCCATGGACTCCCAGCCCTTCTTCTGCAGGGCCAGCATCTCGAGCACCTGTCGGGGGGCAGTGCAGAGGGGGGCACGTGTGAGGAGGTGGTCCACAGGGCGCTGCTCCCTCCCCATGGCTGCCTTGGCCTGGCAGCAGGGACCTGCCTTTGCCAGCTCTGTGGACCCCCAGCAGGGACAGAGAGGCACCAAAGAGAGAAACAACCACGCACCAGTGGCAGACGCCTGTAATCCCAGCTACTCAGGAGGCAGAGATCAGGAGGATCGCGGTTCGAAGCCAGCCTGGGCAAATAGCTCAAGAGACCCTATCTCGAAAAAAACCCATCACCAAAAAAGGGCTGGTGGAGTGGCTCAAGGTGAAGGCCCTGAGTTCAAGTCTCAGTCCTGCCAAAAAAAAAAAAAAAAGAGAGAGAGAGGAAAAAGTGACAGACAGGGACACAGCTCAAAGAGAGGAGGGGGCGGCAGGGGGTGGGGAGGTTCTGCTTTAAGTTTTCGGTGCTGGGTGAGGAATGACAATTCACTATTTTATTCTTTAGACTTTTTTGGACTTTGTAATGCATTTTTTTTCCTAAGTAAAAAAAAGGACAAGCAGACTCCCTCCCAGTGTCCTGGTCCCCCACGCCTGGGCCAGGCTGACTACAGGGACTCTCTGGAGCCTGAACCTTTACATTTCAGAACTGTCCCCTGTGTCACCCGGTGAGGGCCAAGACTCCTCCTCTCTCCTCACTGATCCGAAGGGAAGGAGCTGGGAAGAAGAGGGCTGAGGTCACACCGTGGTCAGCCAGGCCACTGTCCACACACCCCCCTCTTCTGTCCCATTGCCCCAGGAAGGGTGCCCAGTTGAACCTGAAATTCGGGTAAATGATGCGCATTTTTAGTCACACAAGTATGTCCCAAATTTTGCATGGGCTCTGCTTATCCTAAAACTCAGTCTTCGATTTCGTCGTCGTTTGCTTAGGCAAGGGTTTGGTCTGAGTGTGACAACCCTGTCTGACCCGGATGGAGACCTGGCTGAGGCTGGGGCTCGTGAGGCCTTTCCGCCTCCCCTTGGCTGCAAAGCCAGCGCCCCAAAGCTTCCTGTCCCATCCCGGCTCCCGCTCCTGAGCCCCCGAAGCTGCAAGAGGTCACAGGTGCTACCCTGTCACCTGTCCCTGGGTGACACTACCTGTCCCTGCCTGCCTGGGGGAGGAACTCTCAAACTCACCCCCCCGGGGCAAAGGTACCCCAAGTCCTTGCTGGAGAAGACTCTCCAGGCCCACGGAGAGGTGGCACCAAGCTTTGAGCTGGAAATTTGTCGTCATGGGACAGGCCATGAAGACGCACTTTGCAGAGGAAGTCTATACAAGAAGAGACCTGATTGCCACCAGGGAGACCTGGTGAGATATTCTGGGTCCCTCTGCAAGGTGGACCAGGCTGGGGCAGGGTGGGCGAGGGGTCCAGAGGCTACTGTCACTCTGCTACCTCTGTCCATTCTATGGAACACCGCTCACATCAGCTCGTTCAGGAACAGAAAAAAACTGGGAAGAACCACAGTGGCTTCCCAGGAGTCATCAGTACTGTGAAAGAAGGAAAGAAAAAGGAGAGAGAGAGAGAAGGAGGGAGGAAGGAAGGAAGGAAGGAAGGAAGGAATAAAGATTGCAGTCCAGGCCAACCCAGGTATAAATTGAGACCCTATCTCAAAAATAACCAAAGCTGCCAGGTATCGGTGGCTCACGCCTGTAATCCCAGCTACTCAGGAGGCAGAGATCAGGAGGATCTTGGTTTGAAGCCAGCTCTGGGCAAATAGTTTGCAAGACCCTATCTCAAAAAACCCATCACAAAAAAAGAGCTAGTGGAGTGGCTCAAGGTGAAGGCCCTGAGTTCAAACCCCAGTACTGCAAAATAAATAAATTAATTAATATTAAATTTAATTTAATAAAACAGGGTCTCTGGCTAATCTGAAGCCGCCGTGCTGGGTTCAAGCACAGACCTGAGGGGTCCAGAACGTGAGGGTTCCTGCGACCCCTCCTGGCTGGGTTACCCAGCTCGCACCCCACAAGGACCTGGGGAGCCTTGTGACATGGGCCAGGCCAAGTGGCCAGCACAGCGTTCTCTCTCTTCTAAGACACTGAGGATCCCAGCCCAGCCTGACAAGGTGTGGCCTCTGGGACGCCCACCAGACACAGGCCTGCCCCGTGTTCCCTGTGTCTGTTGAGCCAGCCTCCTGCAGGACCCTCAGACTCGGGGCCAGAACCCTGGGCCTCAGTTTCTCCGTCCTGAGAGGATTCCTGTGCCTGGCCCTCTGCAAATCCCGAGGCCCACCCTGCCCCACTCACCGCAGGATTTTCCAGAACTCTCAGAGACTGGTGGAGGTCTGCGGCGGAGGACGGACAGCAGGGGGCAGAGCAGCCTCCCAGACTGCCAATCAGGCCCCACCTGGCCCCACCCAGGACGGCCCCCACCCCTCACTGCTTCCCTCATTCATTTCCTCGTTTTCCCACTCGGAGTCCTCAGCCCTCGCCAGGCCCCTGTCGGCTGCTACATCTTAAGCCATTCTGCACTGGGATGCCACCTTTTTCTTTTGGTGGAGCTGGGATTTGAACTCAGGGCAGACAGTCAAGACTAGCTTCCTGCTTTGTACACAGCAGCCCCTGCCTGGTGGACCACAAGCCCACAGGAAGGAAGGAAGCCGTGCACAGCCGAAACTCGTCACAGGAAGCCGAGGCATGGCCGGGGCTCTGTCCCAGTAGCACGGCAGGGGCTGAAGGAGGGGACAGGAAGCAGAGGAGGCCCTGGTGGCTGGTCCTACTATGGCAGCCACTTGAGGTGTACGAGGTTGGTCATCCCTTCCTTCCTGGCGTCTGAGTTTGGACACAAAGTTCACCCTTGCAGGGCATGGTGGTGCACACCTATAAGCCCAGCTACTCAGGAGGCAGAGGTAGGAGGATCTTGGTCAGAGGTTGGTGCAAGCAAAAGTACAAGACCCTATCTAAAATACAGACTCAAAGCAAAAAAGACTGTAGTAGAGCGTTTGCCTAGCAAGTGCGAGGCCCTGAGTTCAATACCTGGGACCACCAAAAAAAAAAAAAACAGAAGCCAAAAACCAAACAAGTTCACCCTCTCTGCGGCCCAGAAAGGTCTTCGTGTACAACACCAACGTCAGGGCAGGCATCGCCCCTTGCGACCACAGGCAGAGTCTCTGGGTAAACTGAGGCCCAGAGAGGAGTCGGCTGGTGGAGCGGAGCCTGGCTTGACAAAGAACAGTCCTGAGGCTGTGACAGTCTAGTGAGGGAACGTCTGCATTCAGGCGACCCACACGAATTAATTATTAATAGTGACGCAGTGAGCACTGCCCTGCTTCAGAGGCCTGGGTGTGGGACAGAAGTCCTCCCTGTGCCCGGCTCCATGACTGGTCCCTGGACTCCCTCAGCCTGGCACCTGGTCGGGCCCATGGTCTCATCCACCCTCGGGGCCCAGAGTCGGGCACATTCTGTCCTGAGGGGGGGCGGGGGCAGTCGTTTGACGAGTGACCATAGGCCAGGCAGTCATCACCTCCCTGAACCACACAGGACAGCCACCCAGAGCCTCCCAGTTCTGAAGCCAGGTGTGGTGGCACACACCTATAATCCCAGTACTCGGGAGGATGGGACGTTTGAAGTCAGCTTAAACTCATTATAAGGTGAGACCCTGTCTCACAATCAATCAATCGATAATTTTTCTTTTAAATCCCAGCTATGCTGTTTCTGTGCTGTGTGCTCTCGGCAAAGTCTGCGCCCCTCTCTGGGCTTCAATTTCTCCTCCAGCTACAACGCTGCCTAGCCCTGGCTGGCCCAGAGAAGACACTGCTGTCATCATGATCAGGGACCTTCCAGGGTCCTGGACCTGGTCCCATGGATGTGTGTGCCTACTGGCCCGAATCCAGGGTATCAGGTTCAAGAATGGTGGCCATACAGCCTGGGCACCTCGCAGTCTGCGGGGGCTGGAAGACAGAGAGGGTTAGCACAGAGAGGGAAAGAAGCAGCCATGAGGTCACACAGCACAGCGGCCACAGAGACAGGACTTGAACCTGACTCTCCCGACAGTGGTGACAAACCCAGGCACTCAGGACAGACCCCCAGCCATCCCTCCCTGGGGGTTACCCAAGCCACGTTGGAAGCTCTCAGTGGCCGACCCTGTCCCGTTCAGCTAGGACCCACTGGAGACCGAGAGGATTGTCCCCCAGCATCCAGCACACAGGGACACCGAGCCCAGATGGCAGACTGTCAGAGTGCCAGAGCCCCGTGCGGGGACACAGGAGACCCGCTCACCTGTCCTCTCCCAGGCTGCCTCCGTGGTCACTGACAGACAGGGCTATGCTCCAAGACTCCCAGCAGCAGAGGCTGGCCGGCCTCCCAGGGCAGGTATAAATATTCATGAGTTCCCTCCCTGGGGACACCCCAGAACCCTGCAGGGAGTGCCCTGGCCTTCTGACCCCCCCCTGGCTGGCCAGCTCCTGGCTGTCCCTGCCTCCTTTGGCTCCAACAGCCAGGCGGCTCTCTCATCCGGGCTCAAGAAGTTCCAGGTGTCCTTGGACCAAGGACACAGGCTCTGCAGAGCCCTGCGGAGAGCCAGGCTGAGGTTGGGGCTGGAAGCAGGGGTAACTGCTACCTCTCCTGGCTGCCCTGGCTGGGGGCCGGCTACCCCCATCAGTGCCCCTGCTCAGGGGAAGAAACTGAGGCACGGGCCAGTCACGGTCAAGGTCAAAGCCATACCAGATCCAGAAAGATGCCGAGATGAAACCAAGGGCTGCGGATTGTGGGGAGTGAGCCTGGGCGCTTCTGGGGCTCTGGACTCTGAGTCCTTCCTCAGAGAGGGCGTGGGGTCCATGCCAGGTGGCCCCTGACTGTCCTGTAGCTTGATGGGGACACAGGACACCGGGTCCGGCCTTGCAGGTCTAGGGCTGACTGGACATCCCAACCCTTGTCAGCAGAAGAGGGCACCCTTCCATTCAGGCCTCCTTCTCTTGGCTTTGACCCCTGTGTCCAGGAAGGACAGAGCGGAAGTCACTGTCTTCAGACTGA